CTTGGTATAATTATAGAGAGAGAGATAAGTCAAAACTAGAACAGCGTATTTCTGCCCACTTGGCTATACTTGCATTATAATATAGTATAGCAGTCAAGTAATTTTATTATAATAGAGGAACATTGTACAATGAAAATAGCTTCCAATATCTTTGATAAGTGCAGTGTCAGGATCATCAAGCTTTCAATGTGACAAACCATGATATTTTGCACAAAGAAAATTTCTTAAAGTGGACTAATATAATGATTAATAATAGAGGTAGGTCAACACATAGATAAATTGAATTATAGTGATATCAGTAAATAAGGATAAATATTGATTAAAAGTTTGAAGAAATGTTCAGTTTGTACAATCAGGATATAAAGTAGCTTCCAAAATGTACTGGAATTTTAATACTGCCCACGTGTTTTATGTTTTTTTTTAATGGGAAGAGTTTTATATAACTATAGGTGAATATATTTCACTTCCCACATATGTAAAACCTTTTCTCTATTTATAAAAAAGTGATCTTTATCTGAGAAAGTACACAACTGGAAAAAATGATCATACAAATTTTCTAATTTAGCTTCTTTTGGTCTTTCTCTAGCTGAAAAGAACAGCTGAATAACAGCTATTTGTAATAGCAATGGCTAAATAATGCAAAATATTAATATTTCATATATTATGTATTGTCTTCATTATTTTCTTTATGAATATAAATGATCTGGACTTTTAAAACTATTTTTCTTTCATTTTGGCCATACCCCAGATTATTCTACGTTTGCTGGGGATAATTTTTAAATAAGTGTACAATTAATTATCTCTTCATGATCTGAGAAGTTCCCCAAAACTTCTTGGTTTCAGTTTTGTTTAAATCATCCTAAGTTCAAGCGCAAATCTATGCTATTATCAATGTACAGGATAAAATATAAAAGCAGGTTGTCACTTTCCAGATTTGAGAATATTAGAACTGGTCTCAAAATATCTCTTTGCTCAATAGATTTTGTCCAGAGACCAAAATTGTTATAACTCCGAACATGCTACTATCTCGGTGATATGTTTCGCTCTGCAAGGACAAAAATTAAAAATACAATTAAAAAAAAAAAAGACTGATAGTAATATTCTAGAGCTGTGAATTAACTATAGCACAATTGTATGTTTGTATGCATGTATGTATTTGATTTATATACTACCTTTCATTTAGTATCCCAAGGTGACTTCATACGGGTAGTCCTCGACTTATGACCACAATTGAGCCCAAAATTTATGTTGCTAAGTGAGAAATTTATTGAGTTTTGCCCCATTTTATGACTTTTCTTGCTACCTTTGTTAAGTGAATCGCTGCAATTGTTAAGTTAGTAACACGGTTGTTAAGTGAAATCTGGCTTCTCCATTGACTTTGCTTGTCAGAAGATTGTAAAAGGTGATCACGTGATTTTGGTTCATAAATGTGAACCAGGTGTCAAGAATCCAAATGTACATCACATGACCATGAAGATGCTGCAATGGTTGTAAATATAAAAAATGGTCATAAGTCATTTTTTTCAGTGCTGTTGTAACTTTGAACGGTCACTAAATGAACTGTTGTAAGTCAAGGACTTACCTGTATTTCCCTCCGCTACAATAATATTGTGAGGTAGGTTGGACTGAGAGAGAATGACTGGCCCAGATCTAACTAATTTCCTGGTTTCCCTTTAACATCAGTCATCCTTTTAAAAACAGGTATGTTAATTGTGCCAGGAATGAGGAAGAACAAAATCTTGTTGCTTTCCAGTATCATGGGGAAATATACTACAGAACATGTAAAGAAATTCAACCTCATTCTGAGCTCTTGGTTTGGTATGGAGAAGAATATGGAAAGGAACTTGGCATCAAATGGGGATCTAAATGGAAATTGCTAAACGGTATAATACTAGATGATTTGTTGCTTAAATTAATGATAGCTGTAGACCAGAGGACCCCAAACCTACCGTAGTATCTAAGGAATTATCTAATTTTTCCATGGGCCCTTTAGTGCCTAGTAATTTAAGACCCTAGGCCAAAATATTGTAAAAAAAAAAAAAACAGCTTTACAAATGAAATTGCAGCCCTACATCATAAGATGCCTTGGAAAAATTTCATATAGTCACTGTCTGTTGACTCAACTGATGTTTTGACATGGTGTTAGCGTGACTTCCAGAATTTTGCCAGTTCTTATTCCACTTTTAAGTAGCATTTTATTTGAAGGATGAGAGATAATTTGTACTTGTACTATTAGTGTATAATAACAACATGATTATAGCTATTTCATAAAAATTTGGCATTGTGGTTACATTCATAATATGAATATTGATCCATGGCTCATATTTTTCCTGCAGTAAGAGTTTTTTTTAATAGATGATAGAATAAAAAATCTTTAGAAGTCCTGCCCTTGTTTTCCTCTCAAACACAAGTCTTGAAAGCTATTTTAATAACGATAGGAGGAGAAATATATATTACATTTGTCTGGCCCTATACACTACCAGTTTTTTGTGAATTCTTTTTTTACTATAAGTATAATGTTTCCATATTTTCTGACTTAATCAGATTTGGCAACTGTGCTATTAGATATGTTGGTTCATCAACAGAATAAAAACTAAATAATATTATTTGAGGCTAAAAGTAGGGATGTCTTTTTAATGTCTTTTTAATGTAAAAAAATAAAACCTAATCAGAAGAAATTCTTGTTTACAATAAATTATCTCTTGACAGATATATTAATACATATATTTTAATGTAGAATAGTCTTCATAAAAGTGCCTTACAAATTCAGATTGTTCAGTCCAGTTTATCATATCATTCTGTTGAGCTCAAATGTAGTTTAACATCTTGTGTAAAACCTTCCAAGAAAGAAGTTATGCCTTGAAAGAATTAAAATTAAATTATTAACAATGAACAATTAGCTTTATTTTTAAATCCCATTTTTATACTGCATGAGTAATTGAAAATTATCTAATTATATACTGTAATAAGCACTGATATAATAAGAATAGTGAACTCTTTAATGTGGAAGAAAAGATATAAACTCCAAAGTCTACTTTGGCTATAAAAAAGTAAGGAAGTATAAATCATAGCAGGTTCTTCATAGAAATAATGAGCCAATAATTTGCCAATAATTTTGTTTTTTCTTTGCAAATAGTTCACAAGCAGAATTCATACTTGGTGAAGAAGCAACAAATAGTTTGCCATCAGTGTCCCCTATGTGAGACAGCATTTACTTGCAAAGATTACCTCACCCGCCATATGAAATGGAAGCATTCTGGATTTATAATACTTGCTGAAGAACCAGAAAAAATAGAAAAATCATTACCCAAAATAAGAAGCTATGCTTCCTACCAAGTTATGGTGCAATATAGAATACTAAGCAACATGAACAAAGGTAAACATGATGAAATGCTTTTTTTGAAAGATAGAAATGAAGAAGCAGAGAATAAAAACCATAAAAATAATGAAAAAAAACATTTTCAGCTGCTTACTTACAATCAGATACATAGAGGAAAGTCATATTTATATAAAGAATATGTAAAAAAGGTTGATGGATCATTATTATGCCTGATCAAACAGAAGTGGAGGCATATAAGGAAGACGTTTTATTCATGCAGAAAATATGGACTAGGTTTAAGCCAATCCCCAGGACTATCCACTTGGAAGCAAACGCATGTAAGAGAGGAGCCATACTCATGTAGGGAGTGTGGGAAAAGCTTTAGCCGATCAACAAGCTTGGCCAGACACATGCGGACACACACAGGAGAGAGGCCATATTCATGTAGGGAGTG